TCCCGGTGACAGGAAACCAGTTGTAAAGTTGTAAAACTCAGTTGTTTCAGATGTAGCTAATGATTTAACTCCGAGGCCTCCTCCCAATTGAATGGCAGTATCACTTTTAGGGATCTGACACCCCCATTCTTAGTATGATTACAGTTGCACCTTGTCAAAGACCTTGGTATCCACAGCCATTTCTGTGAATCCAAAAGAACCCCAAATTAAGAGGGTGCTATCCACAGAGGAACATACTGTATTAGGAGTCAAGATTCAGAAAATGCCTTAATAAATAACTCATTCCATTTTGGTTGGGTTGAGTCTGAGCTTATTTTCCCACATCTAGTCCCTTTTTAATTTGTTTGTTTATATGTTGTCTTTTATTATTTTTACAAATAAAAGGCTGCAAACATAGCCAACATAACTTCCTCCTCCTATTTTTTCCCACAACAACAATCCTGTAAAGTGAGTTAGACTGAGAAAGAGTGACTAGCCCAAGGTTACCTACCTGGTTTTTATGGCAAAGGTGGGATTTGAACTCAAGGTCTTTTGCTTTCTAGGCTGGTGCCATAACCACTGAACCAAACTTACAGACATTGGGTCACGATTTGTGCCTTTTGCTCCATTTGCCCCATAGTAGATATATGCAGATAACTATAACATGTATATAGATGATACCTCACCCTGAACTACTGGATGATTTTTTTTGTAAAACGTTTTTTTATTTTTCCTTTCAAATTCATTCTTAGATATACATGGGATGATTTTTTTTTGAATGGCTTAATATAGGTGTTAAATAGAATAGGGCAATCCATAATGGAGCCCTGGTCAGCCATATTTCTTTACTGCAATAGCCATCAGCTAAACCCCCCATTCAAAAAGTAAGAAAATTATCATAATACGGTGACTCCTCAAAGAGCATCCCAAAGGATATTGTGGTTGATAGTATCAAAAGTTGCAGAGTGATCCAGAAATAAAATGGATTTTTACAGTTCCACTGTCTACCCACCACAAGTTAACCATGATATTCTGTTCCCAAGGCTTCTGCTTCTCGATTTCTCTGCAGCTGTCATCAAGCCTTTGCAACCTTCCTCACAGTAGTGCTCAGAACAGCCCGTTCCAGATGATCCTATCTGGACTGAAACATATATTCCAAGCAGATTATTTGTGGTCGGGTAGGGAAAAACATAAGCACACTGGTGGGGAAGGTGGAAAAAGAAAGGTACTCAAAATATCGACAGACAGGTTAGAGAGTGGAGAAAGAGGAAGAAGGCACATCAGTCTTACCTTATTCGTCCTCTAAGACCCATCTGTATTTTGTTTCAACCGAACAAGATGCTAAAACATATTTTATATATATGTGTTCAAAAAAATATTGTCATGTTTGGGCACTTTTTAGTATAAAATTATAATAACTTTTGGTAGTTGATTTCCATGGCACTGCAAAATAAATTCATATATTTTTTATTTAAAAGTGGAAAATAAATAGATATGGTTATGATTTTCTAAAGTTCAGAGGTGTAATTTAATATTATATATTAACAATTGGAAGTGTAATCTTTCCTTAGTTGAAATTAATGCATAATTTCAAATTTTTGTATTATCTTTTTCCTTTTAGAAAGATCTTTTTTGGCTTTGGATTGGGATCCTGAATTCAAGAAGAGATACTTTGATGAAAATGCTGCTGAGGTACGTGACATTTAATAAAGAGAAAAAAAGTTGTTACACTACTTAAATATTTATCACTTTGTTTGAAAGCGGTAGACTAGAGTAATCAATTTGATCCTTCCAAATTATGTGTAGTCTGTTTACCATGGAAGAAAACATATATTTATTGGAAAAATTGGATACATTCAGGAAGGAAGGACAGTATCTACTGTCAGCTGACTGCCAATTTTGTAAAAATGACATGTTTTATCGAAGAGTTTACCAGTAGAATAGTTGCTGTTTTCAAATCAGATTCATTTTCCCTAGGCCAAGATAGGGCCAAGATGTAGAAGAGATCACCTGAGACAAATGAAAGTCTGCTTGATCAGTCTTGGGTTTAACATTAAAAAAATTCATCTGCATGCTTTGCTGTCATGATAAATAGCAGTAGACTTATATACCGCTTCATAGGCCTTTCAGGCCTCTCTAAGCGGTTTACAGAGAGTCAGCATATTGCCCCCAACAATCTGGGTCCTCATTTTACCCACCTCGGAAGGATGGAAGGCTGAGTCAACCCTGAGCTGGTGAGATTTGAACCGCTGACCTGCTGATCTAGCAGTAGCCTGCAGTGCTGCATTTAACCACTGCGCCACCTTGGCTCTTAAACTCCCTTCCTGAAAAAATTGTATAAAATGGAGTTTTCCTCCTTTCACCCTATTTCATAACTTATCCAAATTTCCCTCCACAAAATTAGATGAAACTGAAACATAACAAAACAACACTTTCACTCATGGATAATGTCTTTTTTTCAAAGACTTCCAAATAGATTAAAACTAGCAAAGTTCTACTTTCCAATTTGGCATATTTTTCCATATTAGTAAACATATACCCCCCCCCCTTTTTTTTTTACAGAAAGACAAAAATCACTAAAATGAATTTTGTTTCATTTGTTCTTTTAACTCAAGAAATACTTCTCTTTAGGATTTTGAAAAACATGAAAGTGTGGAATATAGACCTCCCAAAAAACCATTTGTGAAGTTAAAAGATTGCATTGAGTTATTTACAACTAAGGAAAAGTTGGGTGCTGAAGATCCATGGTAAGAGCAAAATTTACTGAAATTTCTATCCTGAAATGATTATGGAATTTTCTAATAGTTTACTAATAGTTTTTAAGCTTAGTAAATATTGTATAATAGTGTGTGTGATGTTTTGTTCCAAAGAGCAATGTGTTAATAGCGTCCTAAAGAGTCACCTTTTTTCCAAGCTGCAAGAGCTATAGTTATTTAACCAGACCTATATTTACTGAAGAGTAATTGTTATGTATTTTGTACATAACTCACTTCCTTTTTCTCTTTTTTCATAACTTGTGTAGAAAAAAATACTAACAAAATCCCAAATTTATAATTCTACCAAATTAGAAATTAACATATTGGCAGTAATAAATTAGGTCAAAGAAAGGACTATATATTGCAGTAACTTGTAGAGAGGTTACAAATCATTTCAACATACTTATCCTATGAATCCCAGGCTGATGTACCTGTACACTAACACAGGAAATTCTCCAACGTTGGTAGAGACAGCAGCCATGCGTAGGTTAATTTAGCCAGTAAACAATGGACTGAGTCTACCAAAGTGATGTCATAGCTTCTGGGGAGTGTCCTCCCACTTTTTTAGACTCAGCAGATTGGGACTTGCTGTGCTGATTGCTTTCTGTGCTTCAAAAAATTAAGAAAAAACTTGTTAAATTGGCTATTTCAAATTAAATTTCCTAAATTCGCTTCCCCTGCTAATAATTGACTTCCACAAGGGGGGATCGCATTGCGGACTTCCAGCTCCCTCTTGGAGCTCTGGGCTTCGCAGCTCTCCATGGCTGAGGGAAAAAAGAACCATGAGGCGCCTCATTTTTCCCTCAGCGCTTATCAGGCGTCGTTGCTGCCGGGCACTGGCCGTTGGAGGCTACCGCCCATCAGGCAGCCCTTCCAGCCTTCTGGACCGGCTTTCTGGCCATTGCTGCCGCCGCTAGATCAGCTGCAGCCTCCACTACCACTGCAGCATCGTGGACCCAGCCAAGGCTTCCAGCAGCATCCTCTGCCTCCGCGACTTCTCTCTCGGCCATGCTGCTTTCTGGGTCATAAGCTTTCTGCCTCAGCGGCCATTTTGTATTTGCGGGAAACCTCTGATGGCCATTTTAAGGATCACAGTGAGTACTGGCCATGTCTGTCTCACCAGATCAAGACCCACAGGCTCCTCCGGACAACCAAGCCTCAATTCCCCAGGCTGATCCCCCCCCCCCCAACCAGGGCTTCCAAACGCAGGGCCGCTTACTTTGGGTATCCTGACAGAGGAAGGGGACGTAGCTCAACAGTCCCCCCCAGGAAGGCCAGGGAGAAGACTAAACATTTGGAACCCCATCCCTTCCAGGTTCAAAGGCGGGTTGAGGTTAGCCCTCCTCCAGATCTTTCTTCAGACTCTGAGGAGGAACCCTCTCCTGCAGCCTCCATCATTCAAACTGAGGAAGCCATTGGTGCAGATGCCTAGGTTTACAGTGGGGAGGAATCAGACGGGGATAGGAGTCTCACTCCTGAAGGTGAGATGTTCTCCCATCTTTCTGGTGCTAAACGCTTCAGGGCCCTGCCCTATACACCTGAGATGGCAGCCATCATTTCAGATGCCATTGAACAGGGCATTGCTGCGGGACTAAAGCACAAATCTTCATCTTCTTCTCATTCCACTCCTCGGAGGTCTTCCTCCTCCAGTTCCAGGCATAGGGAAGGTGACCCTTCCGCCTCCGCTTCTTGGAGGAGTATCCGACCAGAGATTTGGACCTGTCTAAGGATGAGGGTCTCCCTCCCGAACCCCCTTCATTTGTTGGTCTATTTAAACCAGCTGTTTTTCATTCTCTTCTATTCAAGGCAAGAAAGCTCAGGGCATCCCAGCCCCGAAGACTCCTCAGGGGGCGGAAGCGGACAAGACAGACACCACGGATCCTCTCTTCACTCAACCTTCACTAGAGAAGAAAGTGATACCCTCCCCCAGATTATTCATCGATGTGCTCCAGAACCAGAGGCTGTCTGCAGGTACAGGTCCTCTCCCTTCAACATTGGACAAGCGGCTGTACAACGTGGGTCCCGACCTCGCCAAAGCTCTCGATGTACCCTCTATTGATTTACCTGTGTTGACTTTGTCCTCTCCTAATGCGGCTTCAGCTGCTCCTGAGGAGACGCTTTGCCTGGAGGATAAAAGAATCGAACAGACTCTTGTCAAGGTCCATCAAGCTGCGGCGTGGGCTGTTTGAGCTGCAACCTCCTCCTCATTCTTTAGCCCCTCTGCCCTTCTGTGGCTCAGGCAGCTTCAGGAAAGGATTCCTCCTAGAGATTCCAGGGCTCACAGAGACATTAATAAACTAAAGGCGGCCCTGGAGTACACAGCAGATTCAAGATGCACTCACTTCGGACAATTCTGGAGAGTGTGTGCAGGAACGATCTCTTTACCTCAATGGACCTCACGGAGGCTTATCTCCACATCCCCATTCTCAAACGCCACAGGCAGTTCCTGAGATTCGTTTACGCTGGCAACCACTTTCAGTATCGGGCCCTCCCTTTCGGGCTGTCCTCAGCACCAAGGGTGTTCACCAAGCTACTGTCAGTGGTCGCAGATCACCTTCAAGCCTATCCCATACGGATATTGTGCTACCTGGACGAGTTGAGTTGAGTTTGAGTTTATTGGTCTTGTATGCCGCCCACTCCCGAAGGAATCCGGGCAGCTTACAATAAACAAGGGAAGGGGATAAATAAAACAACACTTTAAAATACACAACAGTCACAGTTTCCATGGGGCTGGATATTTCGACATTCTTTTACTGTCCAGGTCGCACAATCAGGCTCTTCGGGACCTTCACACTTCCATTGGAGTACTGCAGGATCTGCATAAACCATCAAAAGAGCCACCTAGTCCCCACCTTCTGATTGGTCCATCTGGGAGCCCTAATAGAAGGTCTCCCTATCCTTAGAGCAGCAAGCGAGCCTTAGGGAGCTAGCCAAGGAGGTACGGAGGAAACATCTGGTTCCACTGCTTCTATTATCCCAGCTACTCGGAAAGATGGTCTCATGCTTCTCCATCATTCCGTGGGCACGGCTTCACAGCCGATGCCTTCAGTGGTTCCTATTGCCGTACTGGAAGACCAAACAGCAGTTGTTCCCTAGTGAAAGTCAGGTTGACCCTAGAGGTGCTCCAGTCTCTGGATTGGTGGATCTCTCCAGCCATCTCTCAGGGGTCCCTCTTCAGGAAGCCCCCTCGTATCGTAATCACGATGGACGCAAGTCTATTAGGGTGGGGCACTCATCTTCGAGATCTGGTGGTCCAGTTCCAACCTCGCTCACAGTATGAACATGCTGGAGCTGAGGGCAATCCATCTGGCCCTCCTCCACTTCCAGTCACTGGTACGCAACTCCCATGTGTTGATCTGGATGGACAACACCACAGCCAAGGCGCATGTCAGCCGCCAAGGAGGGACAAGAGCTGTCTCATTCATGGACTCTGCCTTTCATCTGGGGATCTGGGTGAAAGCCAACCTTCTCTCTCTCCAGGCTGAACACATGTCTGGCACCGACAACATGAGGGCAGACTGGTTAAGCCGCACTACGATCAACCCTGCAGAATGGAGTCTGAACCCTCACATTTTCAGGCAGCTGACCATGAGGTACGGGCTCCAGTCCTGGATCTTTTCGCCACAAGAACCAACAAGCAGCTTACCCATGTACTTTTCTCGATACACGACACCAGGCGCAGAGTGGTGGACACTCTGAGGTGCAGGTGACTGTGAGGTCTCCTGTACGTCTTCCATCCCTTCCCCCTGATTCAGAGGGTGATTCGCAAAGTGCTGGAAGAAGAGGCAGACGTCATCCTAATCACCCCTCATTGGCCGCGCCGACCCTAGTATGCGGACCTAGTCCATCTATCGGTGGGTCCAGCATGGCGTCTTTCCAAGATCAGATCCCTTCTACATCAGGGATCCATTCATCATCCTGACCTTCTCTGGCTCAACCTAACCGCTTCAAGCCTGAGTGGGCAGATCTGAAAGCGGCTGACCTTTCCAACAATGTAATCCGGACTATTCAGGCATCTCGTTGCCCTTCCACAACTAAAATTTACAAATCCACGTGGCAGGCATTCTCAGTGTGGTGTTCTGCTAGAGGGTTTGTCGCCCTCGAGGCTTCGATAGCTCACATCTTGGAATTCTTGCAACAAGGACTTGACAAAGGGCTCTTGCCCAACACGCTTCGGCGCCAGGTGGCAGCTCTCTCTTCCGTACTCTCTCTGCACCGAGATGAGCCTCTCTCTTTGCACCCTCATGTCCATCGCTTCCTTAGGGGCACATCTAACCTTTGCCCCCCGGTCGCTCATCGGTTTCCTTCATGGTACCTAGCCAGGGTCCTGGACTTCCTCACAGAACCTCCATTTGAACATCTCAAATCCGCCTCACTACAAAACCTCATTCTGAAATTGGTCTTTCTCATGGCCGTCACATCGGTGAGGCGGGTCTCAGAGTTGGCTGCCCTGTCCATCAGATCGATCTATGTGTGTTCCATCTGGATCGAGTGGCCCTCTGCCTCGACCCCTCCTTTATCCCAAAGGTAAATTCGGCCTTTCACCACTCTCTGGATTTGACTCTTCCAAACTTCTGCCATAACCCTGCGCACAGACTCGATGGATGTGCGTACTGAAGCTCTTTTTGATCATTTTTCCCCAATAACAAAGGGCTTAAGGCCTCTTCGTTCATGATAGGGCGCTGGATCAGATCTGCCGCCTGAAAGGCTTACTTGGCTCATCAACTTACTCCTCCGTCCAACATCAGCGCTCATTCAACGTGGAGTGCGGCAACCTCAGCGACGTGGATCACACAAGCCTCGGTGGAAGAAATCTGCAGGGTGGCTACCTGGACAACACCTACCACTTTTATCCGCCACTACAAGGTGGATAGATATGCTTCTGCAGATGCAGCATTCGGCAGGCGGGTGCTACAACAGGTGTTCACTTCTCCAGACTCATAGGCCATTCGCACTCCCTCCCGAGGACACTCCAAGCTTTGGTACGTCCCATGCATGGCTGCTGTCTCCACCAACGTTGGAGAATGGGGTGTTGGTTCTTACCTGATACGCCCCTTCTCTAGGCAGATGGAGACAGCAGCCATGCGTGGGACGTACCAAAGCTTGGAGTGTCCCTGGGAGGGAGTGTGAGTGGGGCCTTTCTGATGCGGGCCTATGTCTGGACCATTTGGTGTGAAAGATTTGGAGCAGGGATCGACAGAAAGCAATCTAATGCAGCACAGCAGTCTACTTATTCTCCTTCATCAAGAAAGCGGGAGGACACTCCCCAGAGGCTATGACATCACTTTGGTAAACTCAGTCCATTGGTTACTGGCTAAGTTAACCCACGCATGGCTGCTGTCTCCACCTGCCTAGAGAAGGGGCGTATCAGGTAAGAACCAACGGCCCATTTTATCTGTAAACTTTATGGCTCCAAATACTACTCTGTAATTTATGGGAATAAATGACAAATATATATTCATATGGGTGTATACATATAGCTGTCTCTTGTTGTGGGATCTCCAAATGGGTTATTTTGTCCTCCCACAATGACAGTAATGAAAGCATTTGTATATGAGGCTATAGGTTACCACTGTTTTTCTCACAATAAAATTCAAAACAATATGTCTCTTGGGGTGTGTTTGTGTATAAAATAAAATATGTATAAAATTAATTATAATTGTAAATGAAAGTAATCATGTGATCATAAATGGTAGTATATCATTTTGGAATAGGAATGCTCCAATTACTGCACAATTGTCCTTATCCCTCATGCTAGCAAGATTCCCCTTAAGATAATACAATATCTGGTGCCAACCATGAACAGATGTTCTGGTTGACTTCAGGAATTGTGGCACTTGCAAATATTGCAACTCTATGCTGGTTAATGGGAAAAATCTCAATATTTAAAGAACATCTATATCTGCTTTATTGACTACAAGAAAACCTTTAATTGTATCAATAATTAAAGCTGCGAAGAACCCTGGAAGATTTGGGGGTGCCAACAGACATGCTCAGGTTGGTAAGGATGCTGTACACAAATCAGGAAGCCACTGTGCAAATACCATATGGAGACCCTGGTTGGTTCAAGATACAGAAAGGAGGGTGGCAATGTTGCATTCTTTCACCTTTTTGTTCAATCTGTATGCTGCAGTGATGATGAGGAAGCAAGAACTCTCAGAATCATAAATCAGAATAAAGATTGGAGGAAAAAACATCAACAATTTTGATATGCTGATGATGTATTTGAAATATCTGATCAAAAAAGATTAAAGAAGAAAGTGATAGATTGGCCGCTTCAGAAAGATCAAGCTCAGGACCATTCTGATGAATTGAAATATAAAATTAACAATTGATGTTAAAACGATCAAATGCAACTTCCTCAATTATCTACCCTCATCTATGTCCTTTTTCCCACTGCCAGGTCAGGGTCCCGTTCCCCCCCCCCCCCGCTCAGTAGAATCCCAATCAGTGGAGCTAATGCATGTGGGGGCAAACCCCACTCCAAAATTCGGGACTGGCAAAAGCTGGTGCAAGTGCTGCTATACTATCTATGAGAGAAGTTGCTGACAGGAGTATTTCAGTTGCCCTCACCATGCATGGGGGAAAGGTCAGATTGGAGTGGTTTTTAATGGCTGCCACCTCCCTGAGGCCTGCCTGCTTTTTGCCTTCTCCTTTCTGCCCTGGAGTAAGGCTGGGCTGGGGCAACTGGGGCTTCCCTGGCATTTTGCCCTTCATAGGGTAAGAGGCACTGCTTCACACAATACTCTGAGCTTCTTGAGCATTTGGCACTTCCCCGGGCACAGCACCTTTTTGCTGCACTGCTGGGTCAGCCTACATTCCAAGAATGACCACTTTTTCCCCCTGCCTTCCTAGACTCACATAAGACAGCAGCACTTTGCACACAGCCTGTGCCAGTCTCCTCACACTCTTGAGGCACTCCCACACTGGGACTTATTTGCTTAACAACCCATGGGATTGCTTAACAACTGTAATCAGGAATACAGGAACACGGGGATTGTGTTCATTGACTGAACCGGTCATGTGATATCTTGCTTAATGACCACTCAACATTTGAGATTCAGGTCCAAATTGTGAACATAAGTTGAGGACTATCTGTAGTGCACACTATTCTTTCCCCACAGCTAGCTACAGTTGTTAGAATAAGACAATGAAAAAACTAGACAAGAGGAAAATTGACTCACTTGAGCTATAGTATTGGATAAGACATTCCTTGGACAGCAAAGATGACAAAGAAGCAAGTTCTGAAACATATCATACCAGACGTATTGCATCTCTGGAAAGCAAAATCACAAAACTTTGTGAGATAAACACAAGATGTGGCACTTCTGGCTAGCATTCAGTACCTGTGTATCAGGCAATTCCTTTATTTCTCCTCACATAAGCAACCTGGCCTCTGCCCTCCTTACTCCCGCCAGCTACCCCACTCACCTCTGGGTTGCAGATGGAAAGCACCTCATGTTAAGCTTGGCAGACAGATCCCTCCCTACTATATCTCTTGCCCAAGAGCAGTAAACTCCAGTCCCCCGAGTTGCCCTTTTTTGTAGATGAGCTTAAAGACTAGAAGGAAAAAGATCTGTATTTGAACAATAAAAGTTTTTTTACTATTTGCATAATAGGATTGATAGTATATTTCCACAAGTTTCAGGGGAAACAGAAAAATTATATTTCTAAGGTTTTAATTTGTAACAAGCATTTAATAAATTAAGCATAGTAAGAAAAGTTTATCTTCATATTTTTCTTGCCACATACTTTACTTAATTGTAAAATAAGTCTAACAAGATTTTTTGGTCTCTCTAGGTATTGCCCAAACTGTAAAGAACATCAGCAAGCTACCAAGAAACTAGATTTGTGGTCACTACCGCCAGTACTGGTGGTGCATCTAAAACGTTTTTCTTATAGCAGATACATGAGAGATAAATTGGATACATTGGTTGACTTCCCAATAAAGTGAGAACCATATCAATAATGGATAGCTTTTGCGTTACTGTAGATATCGTGGTATACTTTTACAAACATTTATTCTCATATTTACAAGAATATATATTAAGTATTTATAATATTAGATAATGAATCAGATACTAGTTTTTAGGTTGGTCATGGCCTTATTTTCTTTTGTCCTGATCATGGCCATTTAGCCCGAATGCTCATCACTGCTTCATTGATGCCAGCTGTGAAAGCCAACACCAGTATAATATATTCTATAATATTTATTATTCTGGCGAATATACATAGTGATGTAAATAAATTATAGAAATGTGATTGTTACATTTGGAACTTAACAATACTTTAGGTTATAGTTGCCTGAAAATGAACCTACGTATCTGATTAAAATTAAAATAAGAGGAAAGCGATAAGGCATAGGCCATTGGGTATGTTATATTGATATGCCGGAGAATAATTTTGGTTTTCTGAAACATAGTTTACAGACTATAAGTTCATTATTATATAGACAAAATTAGTACACTTTAATTTGAATAGTATAGATGTTGCCTTTTTCATCCAAAAAACTGCTTGCTCTCCAGTGTTTTAATTAAATGTTAATATATTTCCCTACATTAAGTAATCACGCAATGTTAATTCCATATGTAGACAAAACTTTGATCATCCATATATATGTATAGAATTATTAATTTATTTCCAATTATGTTTCAGCTTTATGAGGTAAATCAGAGTAAGAAATCTTTCTTTCTTACCTGAAAGAAAAATGCTTCTGAACAAAATCTGAACATGCTTATGAATTAAGCTTGTTTGATTGAAGCAGCATAGAAATAGCTGGCAGAATGAATGAACACACACGCACGCACACAGCAAATAAAGAATCACTTTATTTAGTACATTTATATTCTGTTTCCTTCAAGAAATACAAAGCAAATGCATATGTTCTTTCCTTGTATAAGTATGTTTACGTATGGCATGAGATTGGTTGTCACTAAGTGAACTTCAACATTTTAACTTGGCCTTTTACAAGACAATTGTAACACAATAAATTATTTTAGAAACCATATCTGTTGATAAACTATTGTAGTTTTTTTTACAAAATCGTCACTCCTAGATTTTTAGTGTGATTCATTTATTGCTTTGCATTAGAATCTAAAACAAGGGCTTCACTGACTTTATTAAAGAAAATCATAATTACTAATATACAATTTTTAAAAACAAATCTCATTTGATCTTTTCTTTAAAATAGTGATTTGGATATGTCCGAATTCCTAATTAATCCAAATGCTGGACCGTGTCGCTATAATTTGATTGCAGTGTCAAATCACTATGGAGGCATGGGAGGAGGGCATTGTAAGTAATGTATTTTATATGTATGAATTTATCTTTATTATGGCTGTATTCAGCATTCTGGGTAAAATGATTTTTCTTATTCTAGATACTGCTTTTGCAAAAAATAAAGATGATGGGAAGTGGTACTACTTTGATGATAGCAGTGTGTCAACTGCATCCGAAGAACAAATTGTGGCAAGTATCAGTTTCCAGAAAAAGATAGCATTATTGCACAGAAACAAGATCCGAGACTGACTTGCTTATATAAGCTATTAAAAGTAATATTTACCATGCTATAAAACTAAAACTAATAATAATAATAATAATAATAATAATAATAATAATAATAATAATAATAATAATAATAATAATAATAATAATAAAACTTTATGCATTGTATCTTTTCAATTTCATCCAAAAAATCCTGAAAGTTCATTCCTGGAAGTAAGGTCTCCTGTGATGGCAAACCTATGCCACACGTCAAACATGATATGCCACAATACCAGCATTAACACCCAACCACTATTCTTGTTAGCATGCCCTATTCTTGTGTAATTTTTGGAGGCTGTGAAATCCTCATGAAAATGTGGTGTGCTGTTATGCATCCTCTGGACACTCTAGAAATTTCATGAGGAGGTATGTTCTTGAACTGTTTCCAGGGCCTCTGAAAATCACAGAACAGGTTGTGCTATTCCGTGGTTTTCAGAGGCTGCAGAAGCTGTAGAAGAGCATTCTCCAAAGCCACTTTAAGAACAAAAGCCTTGTGCAACCTGGAGCTAGCTCAAATGAAAGAGAACACTGCCTGAAGGTAAGCAGTGTGTGGCGGTTCCTGTGGATACACAAAATTGGACTATATTTTTTTTAATGAATATGTAAAGAATTGTTCCTCTTTTGAGGGGGCTTCGGTGACATACCAGAAGAGTCAAATTAGGCATTTTCTAAATTTTTGACACACCAAGCCCAAAAGTCTTGCCATCACTGTCCTAGTAGGTTTGAGAAGTATCAATTTTTGTAACTGATGGGAAGGATCAGTAGCACTGCATGTAACATGTTCCAAAATGTTCTGCCTTTTAAATGCTTCTCGGCTAGCTCCACCATAGCTAGTTTTTTTAAAAAACAAATATGTAAAAATCAATCTTTGCTAAGACTTGATGTTTCCCAAGTGTTAGTTTTAATTTTTAATTTGCAGATTTAGGACAAAAGAATTGCTTTTCAATTGCTCTTAGCTTATGCCCAAACAAGATTTTTAGTCCTCTTTTTTTCAGTGAGCAATATATAATGCCAATATATTTAAGATTATTCATTGCCTCAAGTTAGCTTAATAACTTCATCTCCCTGCCCTGCTTAGTTCTATGTGATCAAATTTGATTGATTGGATAGCATATTGAATGTCAGATAAAAGTGAAACAGCATTGTTTTCCATAAATAAAATTCATTGACAGTCATAAAAATTTCCAATATACTTTATGAGTAGAAATAAGTATAATATTTATAAGGATTGCTGTTTAACAGAAAACGTTAAACCTGAGAGTGGCTGAACAAATTTCATCTTAATCTTGTTTTCCTGATATACCACATTTTTCGGAGTATAAGACGCACCAAAGTTTTAAAGAGGCAAATTTTTTAAAAAAGTTTTTGCACCCTGCAGACCTCCCAAAAATGGCACATTTTTTGTGAAAACGCCCTCCCTTTTTTTTTCAAAAAAAGAATGAATAGCCTTTAGGAGGCTTGTAGAGTGCTCCTGGGGGGTGGGGTGCCCCAAAAATGACCAAAAAAATGGCCCATTATTTTGCAAAAACTGGCTCTTTTTGTCAAAAAAAGGGCATGCATAGCCTTTAGGAGGCTTATAGAGTGCTCCTGGGGGGGCGGGGGGGGGGAAATTGAGCAAAGAAATGGCCCGTTTTTTGTTCTTTCTGCGTTCCCCAGCCCCCAGGAGCACTTTGCAAAGCTCCTAAAGGCTCTGCACAGTCATTTTGGTGAAGGGTGCAGGGTTTCGGGAGGCAAAAAATGGTGTATTCAGTCTATAAGACACACCCAGATTTTCAGCCATTTTTTTTTTTTTAGGAAAAAAGGTGTGTCTTATACGCCGAAAAATACTTCCCGATAATTTTCTTTATTCATTTCTGTCATGGTCAGTTTTCATTCATGCCTTGTAATGGGCTACTTCTGCATGTATTATCCATGTGCAAACATCTGACCATTACTAAAGCCCCAGGAATTAAATACGATTATCAGTATAACTATTTGCCAAAGATAGAGCCTAGTTATTTATGTATCAAAGTAATAGAATGAATTGTATTGTCCTTAATTTGAATATATTTTACTATAATAAAATTGAAAATTAAGTAATTAAAATGGATAGTTTAACTTTGATAATTAACATTTTCCCTTTTTTTTTGCAGTCCAAAGCAGCTTATGTGCTCTTCTATCAGAGACAAGACACAATCAGTGGAACTGGTTTTTTTCCTCTTGATCGGGAAACTAAACAAGGTGCTTCTGCTGCTACAGGCATTCCATTAGAGAGTGATGAAGACAGTAATGAGAATGACAATGATATAGAGAATGAAAATTGTATGCACACTAATTAATCGAAGAACTAGAAGCCATACAGAGAAGAACTTCCTGATGGGAGCTCTCGATTTAAAAAAATGAAATTATCCACCAAATTAAAAATAAAATCTGAGATGGGAAATTTCAGATGACAGAATGTAAATCCTTGTTACATTTTAACTTGTGCAGTACCTGAAGTGAAACACAATGAAAACATTAGAATTTGTCTCTAATATCTTTGCAATCTTGTATTTACAAGCTATATAGGAAATCAAAATAAATCCCTTTACAATTTCTGCTGCAATCTGGATGAATTACAGTTTCTTTGTTTTGGATGCAAATTAATACTGACAATTTGTGGATTTGTTCTTTGTCTCAATACCCCAAGAATATTACCGCAAAACCTCCGTTTTTCAATGGATATGTCCTTAAACCAGTAACAAAAACATTGACTAATATATTCAACTCAATGCAGCAACATTCTTGGAATGTCAGATTTTCAAGTTTCTCCCTCAAATGTTTATTAAAAAGAAACTTAATCATGATAAAATGACTTGGAAAAGGTGTTTTAACCTTTTGTAATAAAAGTAATCTTCCAGAATATTATGTTCATCTTACTGCTGCTGTGGAACAGGTTCTGGATTTCATGCTGCATTAAGGAATTGAATTTTTCAATTAAATGTAAGTATCCCTCATTGCTTGTTGGATCTACTTTGTAAACATAATCCCTGTTATCTTGTTTATAAGATGTGCGTAACTTTAATCTGGTGTCAGTCCAAAAATTTTGACTGTGCTGTAAGTCCCTCTTTCTCCCAATTTTTAGTAGTTTGACAGTTTGCAAACTACATACAGTGTAATAGATTCCAATTTTTAATAGTATACTGTATTCATAGTAATGACTGTGCATCAAGCTTAGATGACTTTTCCATATAACTTGCCTTCAAATTTGTTAATGGGCAACTGGTTCAAAGGTAGGTCTGCTAATTTTTCATGTGCATTCTTGGTGGATTCACCATAGCCTTACATCTTATCTCAAAAGATAACTTTACTTAATATAGAAGAATTGGCATTTGCATGTTCAAGAGTCAGAACCTGTACAATAAGTAGATAAAGTATACATACCTTCAATTGGGTTTTAATCGTGTTGAAGGGATGCCAAAAATAAGTGTGACTGTTTGAAATGTTTTTGTTTGCGCTTTCCCTTTGATAGTTGAAGTATTGTTAATACATACACAATACTATCTTTGATAGAAACTCTCTTAAGTGTGGAGGCACACTTCACATATCTACTACCTAAGGTCCCACCATTGTTAAAGCAAAAAGTATGATCTTCACTTGAACTAAGCAAATACAATAGGTTATAAATTGTGTATTGTAAACAAAGTTCACTCTGTGAGTGCACATTTTGGTAAATTATTTATTTATGTTAGCATTTAAAAGTTTAAAATAGCATTTGACCAGGATAAAATTAGGTTTGTGGACATGGCTTTGCTTTATACTTTGATATTAAAAGCTGGTGTTTAATCCTGGTATTTTAAAGCTGCTTTTTTCAATGTAAGCTAGCCTCCTGCATGACAGAGGTTATAAATTGTCTGCACTTGAGTTCACTTGGGTTTACATTTGAAATGCGCATGTTTTATTTATAAAAATTTCAATAAAGCTATTCAACGCCTTATTTAGTTTTCTTGATTTTTTTCCAAACCTTTGATAATGGCTGTGTGGTTATAGAAACAACACATTTCATTTAATAGTGAATATGCCCTCATTGAATCAAATACAAATATTGGGCACAGCCAAATTTTCAGCCATCTTGAAGATCTGAACATCGTTGTTCTGAAAATGGGTCTTTTTTGAATTGTACAGTAGCATGAATGAGTGAAACCGGAGACAATTCTTCTCATATTTACACTGAACTGATTAAAATACTGTCAGCAATATGTATAGGACTGACATTTGAATTGTATGCATCTCAGAAATGCCTTATCATTATTTTATTTGACATCTTTCACATAATGCATTGCTTTATAAAATTGGTTGGACAATTATATAATTTACACTTGTATTTTCCAAGCAGCTGATTTAGAAAATTATACATAATATATGTTCATGTGTAATAACTAAGTTCACGGCCTGCTTAGACCTGGTTTGCTTAACTATGATTGTTAAAATATAGTTGCGTTTGCATATTAAGTGGGTTTGGCATAAGACCAAAACCAAACCATATCATGTATTAGTGTGATTTATAAATCAAGGCAATATACAATCTTGCTATGCTAAATTAAACCCCACTTTACTTAACCTCTGTCCCTCCTGATTGGTGAAGATCACCTGGGGAATGATAGGCAGTTGGTCCAAATGGTAGTTTGCCTGCCTTGAAGGTGGTAGTGTACCCCTCCTCAAGTCAATGCTGGACGCAACTTCAGAAAAAGTTGAGGTGATCAGGCTGTGCCTTTAGTGGATTCTGGAGAAATGAGATTATATTGATAACATTTCAGGCAAGTTTCAGATTGAGGCAGACTATTGGGATACTGATCACACTTTTTGATGACTTCTAGCAGAGCCATGGGAGGAGGGATGCTCTGTTTCTCCTGGATCTCTCAAAATCTTTGCATACCATTGATTTGTGGGACCTTTGATTCCCAAGAGGGATTAGAGATTGTGAGATCTTTGAGTCCCAAAAGGGATTAGGAATGGGGATACTGTGTTTTGTGATTCTTTTATAATCCGCTTCAGTCAAAGCTGACAGGAAGAGAATGTTTGTGGCCAAACCCCCTGAAATGTAGGGTACCACAGTACTTGGGAGTCCTCAATCCTTCTGAATAATATATCCATGGGACTGCTAAATTTCATCATCTCTAGCAGCATCAGTACTGCACATGCATCTTAGGCTGACCAAGTAAAATTATCAAGTACTTGTCCCAATGTCTGGATGTGATGAAAATTTGGATTGGGTAAAATCAACTCGGGTTCAACCCTAGCGAGACTGGCTAATTTCATCTTTAATCCTGAGTAGGGTCGCACCTCTCTATTTAGGACTGGTACACAATTTATGATTTTTCTGTTACCTGCAATCCTGCTTCAAAGATCAAGTGGAAATCGTGACCAGGAAAATCTTGTACATCAGTTGTACCCATTCCTGGACCAGGAGATCCTACAGAAAGTCACTCATTTCTGGATCACTGCACCTGTGGATAACTGGAGTGAACTCTATATGGGGCTGCCCTTAAAGACCATTTAGAAGGTGCAGTGCTCAGAATACAGCACCATGGGCAGTACTGGCTACACTCATGTAATGCCTCTGATTCATGACTTGTACTGACTGCCAATTAGCTTCTGATTGAAATTCAAGGGTTGGTTGCCAGCTATAAATTCTTCTATGGCACAGTGTCATTGTAAAGGGTGGGCAGGCACTATGGAGACTGTCCTTTAGACAGACACTCTGTCTAGACTGTCCTTTAGACAGACACTCTGTCTAAAGGACAGTCTCCATAGTGCCTGCCCACCCTTTACAATTGGAAAGAATTGATATGCATCAAATTAATTAATCAGACATTGTCATCTGATGAGATGCCGGCTACTTGGAACAGCAGTCCGATTCCCAACCCTAGATATGTGCATGGCCCCTGCCTTGTCTTTGAACAGTCCTTTAAAAAGGGAATACATATACAGTGGTACCTAAATATTACTCCTTAACTGGTTCTGAGAGGCATGAGTACTAAACACAATGAGTACCAAACAAAATTTTCCCATAAGGAATAATGTAGTGAGTCACAAGGTAGCTGACATCAACAAGTTCTAGTTTGTGGGTTGAGTACCAAGCAAATGATAAATACTGGGACAAAATTTTCATGTCTAAATGTGTTGAATACCAAATTCAAATGAGTTTCAAAGCAGTTATCAAGGTACTACTATATTCAATCATGCTTTACTTCTCTGCCCACTTCATTAACCTGCCTTCACTATTTTTGTACTGTTTCTACAGTGTTTCCCCTAAAATAAGACAGGGTCTTATTTTCTTTTGACCCCCCCCTCCAAATATGGCCTTGGCCTTATTATCGGGGGAGCTTATTGTTTTGGGGATAAAGGAGGTAGCGAATGTGGTCACCTCATGGCTGTTCATCCCTGAGGCTATGCCTGCATCCTCCCGTCCCCATGCCAGGTTCTTTAGGAACCCGCTTACAAGAGCAGCCCGGCAACCCCACTCTCCAGCCGGACAGTGCCACTCACCGACCCAGCGGTATCCCAAAGGCGCCAAGCTTCACGAGTGCCTGTTTCCCCCCTGGCTCCCGCAGCTTGGTGTTTTCAGAATACCGCTGGGTCAGTGAGTGGCACTCTGCCCAGCTGGAGAGGGGGGGGGTTGCCGGTGGCTGCTTTCTTGCAAGTGGGCTCCCGAAGAGAGCAGCGCAACACAGCAGTCATGAGGTGACCACACTCACAAGCAGCCACCCGGCAACCCACCTCTCCAGCTGGGCAGAATACCACTCACTGACCTAGTGGTATCCTAAAGGAACCAAGCCGTGGGAGCCACGGGGAACAGGCGCTTACGCGGCTTGGTGTGTTCGGGATACCGCTAGGTCAGTGAGTGGTGCTCTGCCCGGCTGGAGAGGGGGGTTGCATGAGCGTCTGTTCCACCCCCCGCTCGCGTGTCTACTAGCCTCACCACGACCTTGGCCAGCTCTCCCTGCAGGGTCAGGATGCCACCGCCATCCGAGCACTGAGGATGGCTTCTTCTGCAGCTTCCAAACCCTGGAAGTCTGCTGCCCAGTCTTCTGGCAGCCGGGGCAGAGAGTCTTCCAGCAGTGACCACTCTGGGAGTGTGCTTCCCGCTCTGGTTGTGGGCCAGCTGCCGGAAGACTCTCTGCCCCGGCTCCTGGAAGACTCTGTGGTATCTCGAAGGTACCAAGCCGGAGGAGCCAGGGGGGAACAGGCGCTCTCATGGCTTGGTACCTTTGCGATACCGCTAGGTCAGTGAGTGGCACTCTGCCCGGCTTGAGAGGGGAGTTGCCGGGCAACTGCTCATGAGTGTGGTCACCTCTTGGCTACTGTGTTGCATTGCTGCTATTTCGCCCCTGTAGCTGTGCCTGTATCCTCCCGTCCCCATGCCAGGCTCTTTGAGAACCCGCTCGCACGAGAGCAGCTACCGAGCAACCCCTCTCTCCAGCCAGCCAGAACACCACTCACCGACCCAGCGGTATCCCAAATCCGCCATGCCGCGACAGCGCCTTTCCTTCCCGGCTCCCGTGGCTTGGCACTTTCAGGATACCGCTGGGTTACTGAGTGGCACTCTGCCTGGCTGGAGGGGGGGTTGTCCAAGGGGCCTATTTTTGGGGAATGGTGTATATTTTTGCCCACCCCAAAATCTGGCATGGCCTTATTTTCAGGACATGTCATATTTTCGGGGAAATATGGTAGTGTTGTACATCAGCAGAACTATGGTTTAGTTAAATACACATATATATGCATGTTCAGGTAAACCTACCTACAAATGTATCTAAAGTTAACAGCCAACAGTATTATGATTATAGATGTAATAGCATTTTTCACCCCAATTTTAGTTGGCTCACTTCCCTCTGAGAAAGGTTTAAGGACCAGAAATCTTCTCTGCGTGGGCATTGTCAAATCCAGGCTAGACAGTATAGAAGGGTGGGATAGTTTGTAGTAGCAAGGCTATATCTGCAGGCTTTTCTCAGGCATCTCTCAACCTTCTTCTGGAACCACTATCTTTACTTTCTTCAGAACAGCCTTTAAGGTCAGCCTTTAAATGTATAAATGCCATTGGTAATTGGTAGACTAAAGGACATATAGAAATGTAACTAAACCAAACAGATTCCAGAGAACATTGTGCAAGTTCAAGATTTCATCTAGACGTGATGAACCGGGGTCTTGAGGCCGTTATGGACTGGATGAGGGCTAACAAGCTTGTACTCAACCCGGAGAAGACCNTGCCTCAAATCTTGCTTTGCTTAGCTGCTATCTACTCATGACCAGTAAAAGTACATTTCTGCAAAATGGAGTTGAGTGGTTTCTTTCTTGGTTACTGAGGGAGGCTGCCTTGACAGTTATTCTTGGTTTGGGGCCTTCAACTCAGCAGTGGAAAAAGATTCTTCACATAACATACAGTAGAACCTCTGGTCATGAATGCTTCTGACCATGATCAAATCGGATTCTGACCAAAAAATTCAAAACTTTTTTGTGTGTGGCCAATTTCTCCTTCTCCACCATTTTTTTTTTGTAATCACCAATTTTCCAAAATTAGGTTCGGGTCACAACAGAATTGGTTTGTGACCAAAGTTATGGAACTATGGTTATGACCAGAGGCTCTACTGTATCTACATCTGTCCCCATGTTGTGTACTGAGACTTTTTATAAGCCATTTCATTATTCTTTGGGCTACCGTTTTTATTTACATCTTATGAGACCTAGGAAGCATGTCAGTTCCATGGCAGCCCCTGCCTTAGGAAGAAGTTTGGCAGTCCCCATCATTTTAACCTTCCCAAAGGATCTGGCTTTTTTCCCAAATGCCATAAGGTATATGGTCAGATTGGTAGGATAAACGTTTTGTGGGCTGCATGGGACACTTCCAACTGCGATGTCAGGTCTTTTCTGTTTTAATGTTGTTCTTTTATTGTAGACAGATATTGCTATATTTTTGGGTTGAGAGCTACCTAAAGTTTC